ACTACTCATTTGAGAAAAGGAATGTCTTAGACTCGGCGGTTGAACTTCCAATGCAACAGTCAATGCTTTACCTCCTCCTCCAAATTAGTAGGGGTTGGTAACCAGTCAGTCATTACGACTTGAAATTTTACTCACCAATCAGTTACCCTACTTTTGGACATGTTCAATTCAAAGCATCTTCAGGCATAAAGTTTCAATCTCATTTCATGATTAAATGGAGGAGTTCAGCGCAAGCAATGAAAGAGAGGTTAAAATCTTACCGAGCTAACATAATATGCTAACAAACGGCGGCTGAAAACTTACGAAATCGCGTTCATCTCATCTTTAAATGAACAAATAATCTTCAAACTTAAGTTAGTCCAACTAGTTCAGAAAACATCGGCGATAAGGTTCTTTTAACTCATTTCTTTCGACCAAATTTTCTCCTGTTTATTTAACAACCGTCTACTGGCTAAAAGTCAAAAGGTGCTTTGGGCGATTTTCAGTCGCTATTATCTTTGCAGGTAAGCCGGTAGAATACTTAAAGCCACCTAGCAGGGTAATATATTGTAACTTCACCATTTGCGGGATCAGAAGAGTAACCATAACTGGCGGCCATCAGGCCTGTTGTAGGATCCCAGACAAGCGCACTGATGGCTGTGTTTGTGCAGGAATCTCGGAGGTGCTCTTCTGCATGGTTCACGAACAAGTCGATGATAGGCTGTGCACGCCAACATGACTCCGGTTCAAAGGTGCCAAAAACAGGCTCCATTGTCTTGGAATAGTAACTGTGGATATCCTTTTCGGCAGTGAATGCGTTATGAGAAGGTGTCACATCCGTATGCTTCCAAATCGCAATACGCCCATCACTCATGCCAGCTGCTAGAAGCTCTGAGACGAAAATGACGAAAGTTGGATGAAAATTTGAAGTCTACCGTGCTTGGGACAAAACGCCAGTATTTCGATTGTAGTAGAGCTTTTAGTACGCAAGTCACTGGTGGACCTTGGTGACAATGTGTAATTGTCAGCTTTTTTTATGTCCCACATTCGAATCACACCTTCACCAAGCGCCATTGCAAGTACCATTTCACCGGCCCAAATGAAACAGGGACGTTCGTTTAGCTGGGAAGCTAATTTAAGCTAAAATGTAAAAAATAAAAGGAAAAAACAATTACTCAACACTTGCAGCACAATTGTATTCCACAGTGATACAAATTAAGCAAAGAATTGAAGAGTGAATTTGAATTTTAGATAAGATTTAATAAGTGTGCATGCCCTACTAACTGACCCTGAATGATTCTGTCATACTACGGCAGTATTCATCATTAAATTGGTATTCGATCAGCATATTTTCCTCAGTTATCACAAGGAGGATTCCGTGCTTGTAGTTAGCTAGGAGTTTTACAATAGGAGCGTTGCACTGCGTCAGTACTGTGAGGCGTTCAGTTGTTGTTTCTAGATTATGGCCCATTAACGAAACTTCTCCGGCAACACGAATGACACGACCTAGGTGTGATATTGGAACGCTCAAACCTTCAAACTCTACCATCGCAGCATCCTCCAAGAAAAATTGCCGAATCTAGAGACCGTCTCATTGGCGCTGAATTTCTTGGATGACTACTTGAGGCTCTTGAGTTTGCATCATTCGCCCTACAAGTTAATGCAATTTCTACCCATCTAACCTGGTTTTCTCAATCAATTCGACCGATGATAATCTCTTTTCAGTAGAAGAGAGGTGAATTCGTTGTGGCTCTGATGTCATTGATGTGTAAATCCACAGACTTAGTTGTCCACATTCGCCAGCCCCAAACAATATGTAACCTCGCGCTGACCAAATAATAGCGGATACGGAATATGCCACCTTGTCGATATTTGTTACCGTATAAGTATTTGCATCGAGAATGGATATACCCCCTCTCTTCCACCCAATAGCAAGCTTCGGCTCGACTGGATGCCACGATAAAAGGCAAATATCTCGATCGTATGATAGTTTCATATTGTTATTGGGACTCTATTTATAATTGTTAAATATGAGTTACATTTCTATTTGATATTAACAACCAAGAAATACTTGGTCTTAGGCTGCAAGCAATAGCCAACAAAGATTCGGAAATATGCCACGCAATACATGTCACTGGACCTCCTATGTTTTGTATTTTATAACTATAAAATATTGACATTTATCAAACAGCGTATCTAAGCTAAGGTATACAACTTTATATCTGGAGCGATGGCGAAGGTCATGCAGACTGTGACATAGAAGAATAAAAATGGTTCCGATTTGAAATTTGCAAAATTTTTAGCCTATAACACAACATGTCGTTCTTAAGTCCAAGAAATTTTAGCCCACATTCTATATAGAATTTAAAACAAAAATCACTGAAATCCACCAGGACGAATTTTAACTATTGTACACAGGTTTTTACAGATACAAAAATTTTTATATAATTGCAGTAGCCGCTCCGATTTACTTCCTTAAGACATTCAGAAGAGAATATAGGACCCGCTTACACCTCGGTACATGAATCCCGAATCTTAGGAGCAAGTTAATTAAGAAGACTTCATTAGGCACTATAGTGCCTCAAGACACCCAATAGAGTAAAGGAAGGCAGCAAGTGGAGCAAGACACATACATTCCAAGGTGGAAAAAGCAAGCAGTCCCGAGCATGGCCCAGAGGCTAACTCACCAGAACAGTAGCCAGACAAATCCTAAAGCATCCGAAAAACGTCAGCTAGTCACATAAACAAAGCATTAAAATGCCCTCTCTTCTTATGAGCGACGTCCTCGGCACTTCCCTTGGTACCTCTCGCACCACCCATCACAAAATATTCGGTACTACGATAAAGCACCCAGGAGTCATCCGCGCCAATTTTCAAATAGCATGAGACCGAGGAACCATTCTTGGTGTCCTCAACAGCTCTAACTGGATCTGGAGTTACTTTCAGTCTGAAAACCAGATTGGAAACCAGGACCAGACGCTAGAACTGCGGTTTAAAACAGATATGCGGCAGAGAAAATGGGATAAGTCACTGCTCCGTACATAAGGAGCAGACACGAAACCTTTCCAGATGGTTCACGGTGGTGTCGCTTCAGTAGCTAATAGCTTGTCTGTGGAATACAGAGATAAGGTGAAGCGAAATGCGGACGTCATTCTCAGCACTTTCGATGTGAGGGCTTCAGAGAGTCTCTGCCATTGATGCAAATGCGTCTCTTCCACACCGTAGTTACACACAAAAACGGTACGTGCTAGGATAGAAGTAGTTAAATAAATTCGGGTTCGATTTCCATTGTCACCAGTGTAGCGCCCCGAGACTTCCCACCTGGTGAAAGGAGGTAGTGAATGAAGCTAGGTGCATGTATTCCAAAGAGAAAAAGGAGGCCAGGCCTAAGTACACGACTACAAGCGCGAGACAAATCTTACAGTGACCGCCAAACATCTGATGGTCAAATGAAGGAAGCATTACAAGCTCCATGTGCCAAAAGAAGGGAAACCCAGGAGGACTAATGCGACGGGTAGCCTATGTCGCGGTGTAAAATTATTCTCACGCACCTCACGCACGGAATTCGAGTACGAATTCCTTTCCACCTCTCCCCTATACAAGGAAACTTAA